GCAGTCATGGCAGGCGGCGCAGTAGGACGAGGAAATCGCTTTATACTGCCAAGATTCCAGTTGGAGACGCGTTTTCGAGATGTTATTGCAGCATATGACCGTTGAGAATCATCTTGTACCCTTTCCTCCGCACAATCCTCAGCCTCCACTGGAATATGTGTTCCACATGCACGTGGCACTATGCTGTTGCGATCTCGTGCCATAGAAATCTCCTTTGTGCCTTTCAAGATCTGGGAGAGCCTCGCCTTCCTTTCCTGAGTCAATGTTATGCCAAGCTCCGAGGTCTCCTCATCATGTGCGTCTGCGTCCTCTGTGTTTTCATCGCCTGTGTTGCTATCAGCATCGTTGTCGATGTTTAAATGATCTCAAGTACTCACTTTGTTCCATTACAGGAGGTCGTTTGCATCTCGCGCATGTTGCACTGACGACAGCCAGCGTACGGAGCATCAAGCTACATTCAGCATGATACTTTCCTGTACGCACTGCATATAAAATTTCTTCTTCTGGTGGTAGATCGTCTTGCCAACACGATGGTGGACTCTCCCGGAGCATCATGTAGTCGTCGTAGCTAGTCTTTACTTGTCCTGCTACAATGCGCAAGATTTTGATACGCATTGTATGACAACAGAGCGTTTCTGTTGGATCTATTGGCAAGTAGCCATCCGGAAGTCCATGGATCATTGTCTTCTCCATCAATGAGCACGCTGTGGCACTGTAGTCGATTCCGCTTTGATACCCATCGTAAGACAGCACCTGAACGTCGTCGAGATCTCCTGGATTCCACCCATGTATGGTCGCGATTCTGTCCCAGTAGTCTGGCCCGTTCCATGTGATCCATTCACCACCATCCACATCCATGTCATCATCAGGGGTGTGGCAATTAAGGACGTGCGCCCTGCGTCCCTCGAAGTCGAATACTATAGCAAGGAACTGGACGTCATAATTAACGATGAATCCCACTGGCACCATAGGACACTCCTCGTCGCAGGGTATGTATTGGTCGGTCCTCAAGATATCCATGTCATCCTCATTGCGGTTTGTTGGCGCAGCCGCCAACATGTCCATAAATCTTATCCTGTTTTGGCCTTGTATTGAATACCATACTCCTAATAGGTAGAAGTTGGCTACGGCGCTGTCGATGCATTCTGATTTTACAGCCATGGTAGAGGACGCCTCCATAGCTGCAGCCCAACGGGATGGTCGTGCCATTGCGCGGGCTGCGACGAGTGGTGGTCATTTTATTCAATAATCCAGCAATGTGGTTTTGAGATAAACTCACAGGCAATCTCCTCCGCAGTGTACGTGATCTCCACAGTCGGTACTCTTTCAAGCGAGATTGATCTCTGCCCTTCCATATTTGGAGGGGGAGTGGGGCGGTATTCTTCATCGTGATCCCTCCTGTCGCACGAGGCTGCACCACAGTCACTTAATTGCTCAAAGAATCCAGGAGGTTATTTGTGCGCTCACAGTTGTGTTCATCATAGCACTGTGGTTCTCCTTCATCTCCAGATTCATAATCATTATCATGTGCGATGTACTCGAATTCATTGCTATCCTCCTGTCTCTCAGCTTGTGTGGTACGTGCCAGCTTCTTTATTCCTGCAACAAACATCAACGGGACTGCATATTTCCTATCAATTGAAGACGCACCTGCCATACGGGAATGTACCGAACGCTTTTTTGGACGTCCTTTACCCTTCTTTCGAGCGACATTTTTGGACCTCTCACGGACCTCCTTCTGTACCATGGATCCTGGTGCAGTGGTACCCTCTGGCACAGGGCTGATAGTGGCACGTATCGCATAAGACTTTCCAGTTTTCTCTCTATAGCTCTGCATATGTGAGCGTGAAATGTCACTGGTCTGTGTGGTGTGATATGACTCTGTCAAAGAATTTCACGAATGGATAAATATTCATCCTTCTCCAATGACATGTTGTTGAACTTACCCTGTGGTACATCATTGGACTCCGCTCTTCCCTCGTTTTCGAATTGATTGATATCATCATATAAGACACCATGGTTATTTTCATCGGTTTGAAAGTGATCCCTGGTCTTCTGAATCAATGTGGGGTGTCTGCATGCTTCGCACGTCGCACTTGAAGCAGCCAAGCTTTCTAGCAGACCTTGGCATTCCGTAGGATGTTGCCCATGCTGTATCGCATTGATGACATCCTCATCTGGCATCTCATCGAGCATACACTGTGCTTCAGCATTATCCAGGAGCATCATGTAGTCTCTGCACCTGATCACAATCTGCGCAGAAACAATGCGGAATATCTTCATGCGCAGTAGGTGCCCGCATTCTATGTGTATCTGGGGTACATTCCCGTCTTCATCTAGCCCTGCTGTCATAACTTGCTCCAGCACGGAGCACGCTATGGGGCCACAGTCCACTCCATTTTGCTCCCAGTCCAGCGCTCTGATGATGACATTTGTAGGATCTCCTGCCGTCCAACCATGGATTGCTGCAATGTGTATCCAATATCCAGGGCCTCCCCATACCTTCCAGCCATCTGCATTTATCTTGTCGACATGCATTGTATCGTTGGAAATATGGCGGCCAAGGATGTGTGCTGTATGTCGTGCATAGTCAAATATGACGGTGAAGAAATGATCCCCATGATGGACTACAAATCCCACAGGAGCTACGGTACATGCGACATCTTGAGGTATGAAGTGGTACCTCCTGATGCTGTCCAGCTCGACGTCTAACAATTTAGTAGCCATCGCTGAATACATTTCCAGATATCTGATGCGGAATTTGGCTAACCCATCATACCAGACATGCGAAAGGTAAAAGTTTGCCACTGTTGAATCAATCCACATGTTTGATCGAAGGGTGGACAGATGGTTCCAGGCATCGGTCCATATAGTTGGTCGCGACATTACACGTGCTGTGTCTCTGATTAACCCATTGATGTCAATATTCCTAGGGGCAACACTCACAAGCGATTTCGGCAATGTTCTGTGACAGCGACTGAATAATGTGTGATTCAAGAGGATTTTTCCGGTTCTCTTCATCATCAACTCCTATGTCTGGCGAATCGATATCCCCTAAGACGAGTCAGTATCTGGTAATACCTAGATAAAGAGAATCTGGTTTTGAAGGAACTTTGGTCCTCACCTGTTCTATTATCATGCACATCACCATTGGCTACGAATTTGACATTGACAAATTTCGTTCCTGATCTCCCTACATGTTTGAGGTTCAGCTGCATACTCGTTCTTGACACAATCACTCACCTCCCACGCGCTTTTTTGGACGTCCTCGCCCTTTCTTCTTGGCTTTTGGGGCTTCGTCATATGTTACACTACTTTTTCCATGAATGTTGCTGACTTTGACGGCATCAGTATCGGCTGGCATGTCGTCTGGGACTGGGCTTATTGTAGCACGGATGACGGGTTTGTTCGATTTTGGCTTGTGGCTAGTAGCAGATAATTCTGCATCAACATTTTCACGTTGAATTGTAGCTCTGCCTGCTCAAAGTTCTCATATATGCATGGAAATATTGTCGAATCAACTCACGATGAGCTGCATTTTTTATCACTTTCTTTTTAGGTCTTCCTCGTGGGCGTTTATTTTCTTCTAAACTAACATTTCCTGCGTCTAGTATCCCACAGCTCTCTATGGCCTGCAAAAGGCCAGTCATTTCTGTGTCTGTGTTCCAACCATCATCGCCCGAATCAGGTACTGCATCCTGAAGTGGCCTTGTTGAGTTCTTTCTGGGTGGGCTTGAATCGAGTATTCCACAGGCCATGATCTCTTCCGCAAGGTTAAGAGCATCTTCCTCCTCCATTGCACTGTGATAATTTACCGAGGCGAGGTGAATGTAGAATTTGGGTATTATACGATATGGACCACAGTTATCTCCTGCCCCGGTGTGTGCTCGAAAATTTACTTTCATTAACGCCCGGACCCTGCGGGTTTGTAAACTCAGAGCTGACTTAAGCACTGAGCACTCAGCGCGATTGATGCCACATAGCATATCGGATCTTGGACGTCGTGACAATACCTCCGGTGAACGTAAGATAATTTTTTTCTGTGGCGCAACCCCATTTGAACACCGATTTACATCAGAATACGTACAACCTGCGCTTTGCAGCATGACCTGGGACGGACAATATATTGGTTTGGCACTATACGGTTATGCCTAGGCTTTTACGAGTTATTTGCATCGAATTCATTCGTCGGTGTCCATATTAGTGGTGATTAATTATTCGATATCGTCATGTCCTTAAATATTGTGGTTCCAGCACGTCGGCCTCAAATTCGACTTGACCCCATATTTTTACTGGTGTGTCCATTCTACCCAGTTTCATCTCACCTCGATGTCTCGTCGCCTGTCCATAATCAACTCCGCCTCACGTGTAGATCGTAGGAGACTCCCACCCATGCGTAGTAGTCAGCCAAATGTTCGTCGACTGCGGACATGTACGTCCTTCGAATGTACGTCCGCCATTTCCACATATGTTTTGTCGATGTATCCCTTAAACTGACTGACTGATGTTGTGTTACTCAGGGATTTACAACACAGAAAGTGATTTATGTTCTACAAATGAGTCGAGGCGTCTCGTACTTAGAGTTGGTCAATCGTACGTCCCAGAGATCAATCCCATATTAGAAGATATTGACATTGAATATATCAGTGTTGCAATCTTCCCAGACGACGCGAGGGCTGTGCCTAAAGCAGATGGCAGCCTTCCCATTATGTCGTATTGGTATGGAAAGGTCGCAAAAATATATTTGAAACGACAAGGACAGACACACGTGAGTGTTCCAACACATACACAGGTTATGTGACTTGCTAATGCGGCACGTCCCAAGGATGTCTGGCTAGACATTAGATGGTATTATCGACGTATCGACCTTGAGGATGCTGGAGTAGAGTGCGATCTCCTTGAATTTGCACGATCAATGTAAAATATTCTGATGCATAAAACAGTTTATCAGAATCAATGGGCGAATATGAATTGGCGCTCAGCGACCATTGTTCGTTAGTCGACATGGCATGTGTTGAAGGTATGAACAATGCGACCTATTGCCCATTTTTTTCTGTTTGATGAGTTTTTTTGTTGTTGTTGTCAGACAATGCCATGATTGTTGGTTACGACGAAGGCGACCTTGCACAACGTCAAATACAACCTGATACTCCATACCATCGATGGAATATCGACATCGAATTTGTGAAGGACGGAAACGATGTCAGCCTGCACAGTGTGCACCTAAATGTGAGGCGATTGATTTTTGAACGTTCGCCGGTGAATATTCAGATAAATTTCCGCTCTACAGAATCCACAGCGAGCATCGCAGTGTCGCTGCAATAAATGTGACCATAAGCTATACTGTCCGAGCATGTCCCAGCGATACTGCAGGAAATGTAAGCAGTGGTTCAATCATGAATGCCTCGAGGATCTAGAATGTCGCAGCAATCACATTCCCGTGTTGCCAGGTACAGCCAGCGATCTTGACTTGGAAAAAGATTTTCTCATCATGTTGACCATGCCGATTTGCCGTGGTGGACGTTTTGGGGTAGTCGGAAACGGGTCGGTTTATTCTTGTGCGAAATCCCTCTTCAAAGAGGCAAAAGTTCATGGTGCACTCCCAAGGGGATGGAGGAGTATGTTTATAGGACATGATCCGAGGGACTATGAGGGAATTCATTATTATAGGTGCCCATCTTGCATACATGTGTTGTGCTGAAACAGAAACGGTTATCGTTGCATACGAGATGGTCTTACTGAACGTGATCCGAAATTTTATTTTCTTGAACGTCCTGTGGCTAGATATAGGATAGGTTCATATTAACCCGACAGCACGGTATCGCCCAACATGGCATACTGTATGTAATGAGGCTATACTAGTGATTTGATGATCCGATTGCAGCGGTCTTTAATATTCAGTACTAAATTGTGGTATGATAATGTAAAATGCTTGTGTTTCACCAGGTCTCGCTTCCGAATTGTTGAGGCAAAGATAGACACCTTGTTACATCGGCTACAGGAGCCTGGCAGGTGGAGTGAAAAAACCACAGCACATGGTGAGATCATTGTCATTGTGCAATAGCAAACACACCGTAATGTTACATGACAAACGACGAACACCTCATTCTACGCTGATTGCTAGCTTGCATAGTTTAGAATTTTCGCGTTGATTCCTGACTTGCATAGTTGGCCTTTGTCTGTGTAGCCGAGTGATTCAAATGTCCAGATTCCTTAGCAATTACTTACAAATTTATCTAGAAACGCGTGATGGAATGTATATTTGCTTCCTGTTGGATTACACGTGGTATAGCTACTTATCGGCCCTCATGTCAATTAGGACATCGAGCATAAAGTAATCGTGAGCCGCCTTCACGACTTCTCCATCTCTCGCATCGTGTGGTCTCTTGATATGAGCGTAATTCACATATGGCGGATATCGCACAACCTCTTCTACACCCGCCCAGTCGAAGTCGATGATCATGAACTTTGTTCTATCGTCCTTCATCACCATGATATTGGTATCGCGTAGATCGCCATGGACTAGCTGGCACGCATGCAGTGTCTTCAGGTGCTCTCCAATAGCCTCGAACACACGTCGAGGGATGCGCTCTGAATCCGGCAAGTCGGCCAATACATCATAGCCGACAAGTTTGTCCATGACTATCATGTACCAACCTCCGGGGAGCTGTTCGAATCCTCGTAATCTAGGGGCAACGCCTGATCGAGCACAATGCAGATGAGCATCGCGTGAATAACGTCTGACAAATTTGATGCAGATAGCAGCCTCAGCATCTCCTTCAGCGAGGGTCCCAAAAAAGATGAGTTTTGTAGATTGTCCCCCATTGTTTTTGAGATGCTCCGTATACTTGAAAGATATCTCGCTGTTGTCATCGAGAGATGTGAAGCTTGTTGGATATGGGAACAGCATGGGGTGACATAGCGTGTTAGCAAGTGCAGAGTCAGGAGGGAGCGTCTCGTAATGTCTCTCGAGCGATCTCACGGCTTTGCGGAATGCAGCCATGTGACGTGCAGCGGCCATCTGATTATCAGTATCGGTGGAATGATAATTGAATGCAAGAGGGTTCGAAAGGAGTTGTGCAGCAGGCCGCAAAGTCCAAACGGCACTAGCAAAGACAACGTATGGTCCTGTAGAAAGAGTAGTTTACATATCAAATTGAATGCCTGGGATCAGTTTGAGACTGACCAAACAGTATCAGGATGAAACACGGCAGAGCCGACCCCGACATCTGAGGTGCAAAATTCCTCGTTGACTCCAGGTAGTAATTGAGAGCCTGCACATACGGTTCCGAGCTAGAGGTCGCCGCCTCGTTCTTGAACTCCGCAATTACAAAAGAATGACAATTTCCACGGACGTCGATGGACATGTCTGCATCTGTCTGATATGCAGTTCCTTGCACCCTGCTGTGCAGGCGAAAGCCAAGGCGGTACGCTGCGAGCACCTTGCTAACTGCAGCTATTCTTTTGTCTTCATTTTCATACAAGGCCGAATTTACATTGGCCAGTTCGTGGATGAACGCATTGTCTTCTTCCGTTATCCTGTTATTCTTGCAGTCATCGATGAATTGGCCGAAGGCTGGATGTAGCAGCGTGGAAGGAATAGTTTCCTCAACATCGCGAGGACGCCCACATGCTATCCGTGTGTTCTCTTTCTCCTGTTGATCACGAAACGATGAAGGGTGCGAACCTGCAGACGGCGACTGTGATCTATTGTGTTTTATTTTCTGTTTTTTGGCAAATTCGTCCATATCTTTTAGGAAGATCTCTCGTGTCACTTTGATAGGGTCCTGTCCTTCGATGACACGGTTGACTCGCAGAGGGGGATTCGCCGACCCTATCAGCCTTAAATCACCATAACATTCAATTTGTTCATATAGTCACTTATATGGTCAAAACAGAAATAGGTTTCAAACTTTGGAAAAAATATCTTTTCCTGGGCTGGTACATCATTTAGAGGCATCTTCCAGGAATCATATGAACCAAGAATTAAGAAAAACGGCGGTTGGAATATGGAGATATGGTCGAAATACTGACTTTTTTGCCCCTCCACCAAACCGCAATATTGGCGACCTCTATACACCCTGGGACCATCTCCAATCGATTTGTATGACTGAAAAACAGTAGGAACACCATTTTCAGCATTGGTCTTGAGTTATATTCGAGTGTGGTGCGATATAGGGGGTAGGAGGGGGGAGGAGGACATTCTATATCTCGACAACCTGATTTTTCCTGACATATTGGGCTTTACCATCGTGTTCAGGTACATTGAGAGCCCCCTGGAAAAATGCTTTTGGAGGGCATGCAAGTCATGGGAAGGCTAGAAAAATCGATCTTTGAGGGGGGTATGCGACAAATTCGCACATGTCACTTTGTATGGTCTCAAATCGCTCTTGTATCATTCTCAATCGATTTATATCATTGTAAAACAGTAGGGACACCCTTCTACATACCGGTATTTACATAATAGGAAGATATGTGAGTTAGGGGGGGAGGAGGACCTTCTGTATCTCGACCACCTGATTTTTTCTGACAATTCGGGCTTGACCATCTTGTTCGCAGCTATCAAGAGCCCCCAGGAAAAATGGATTTGGAGTCATGGCAAGTCATGGGAAGGCCAGAAAAATCGATCTTTGAGGGGGGGTATGAGGTCAACTTACACATTACATTTCATATTGGCCAAAAACACTTCGAACCCATCTTCAATCTATTTGTATGATCCAAATGCACTATTTAAATCCTTTTTACATCAGTATATACATAAAATCATGCTTCATTGTTGAGTAGGTAGGGGGAGGGGGTAGCATGACTCTGAAACATGATTTATTCGGACAAAATCAGCATTGCCATCGCATTCAGAGCGTCAAATAACCTTAGGATCAAGTTCCATTTGAAGCCAGGCAAGTCATATGAAGGCTGAAAAAATCAACCTTTGGGTGAGGCAACAGGACAGGGGCGACCCTGCTTACATAAGCAAATGCGGACAGGTGGGCACACTTGAAGCAAGACACCACATATCAGAGGCCTGTTGCTCATAAATGTACATATATTGATTGTGGTTGTATTGAGCTTGAGATTCAGACATTGAAGTCACCGAAAGGCTGAGACAGTCGACCTTTGATTGAGCACCTCAGCATGGCAACCTTACACTCACTCCTCACTCATAACTTTAGAACATGATTTTTTTGAACAAAAGTAGCATTACAATTGGAATCCGATGGTTCAATAACCCCCATTGAGATGTCTATTCGACACAAAGCAAGTCATGTGAAGGCTGAAAAAATCAACCTTTGGGTGAGGCAACAGGACAGGGGCGACCCTGCTTACATAAGCAAATGCGGACAGGTGGACACACTTGAAGCAAGACACCACATATCAGAGGCCTGTTGCTCATAAATGTACATAGATCGATTGGAGCCTTGTATGGGCAAGTATTCCCTTGCCATGCATGAAAGAGTCGGGTACTGTGACTGGTGGTGCTGACAAATTTTCGTTAGTCAACTCGTATGCTTGTGATAGCATAAACACTCACCCCCCACCAACATACGACATCATCAGTCTGCTCGAGAGGACTTCCAAGATAAGCCGTAAGTTCAGCGCGAGGGTTCAGCTTGGTGCGATCTGATGCGAGACGTGCTTGCACAGCTGCAAGCACCCATGAACGGCCATACTGACCATGCAAGTCAGATGTCCCTTGTTCGTTGTCAGCCTCTACAGCAACAGAGGTCGGGGCCACATCACGGTAGTACTCATCGAACGACTCCTTGTCCCACTGATGTTCGGCATATGCAATCTTGACATTGGGGTCGAGTGCTTCAAAGCCAGTAACTCATCAGTATCATCATAAGTGAAGAGGTATGAACATACCAAGGCAAGTAGAGTTTGCAGGAAGTATAACACATCGTCGATCATCAAAGATGTGTTATATTTCCTGCAAACTCTACTTGCTGATGGGGTCGGACAGGTGGGCAAACTTGACACAAGACTCCATATATCAGAGATCTGTTGCTCCAAAATGTACATAGATCGATTTTAGTTTTATGTAGCTTGAGATTGAGATATTTAAATCATTAAAATGCTGAGCCAATCGACCGTTGGGTCGAGCACATTAGTATTGCTGACTTACAGTCACTCATTACTCATAACTATAGCAAATAATTTTTTCAGTCAAAATAATCATTGCATTCAGATTCTGGTGGTTCAATAACTTCAATTGAGATGTATATTCGAAGCAAGGCAAGTCATACAAAGGCTGAAAAAATCGATCATTGTGAGGTAGCAAGACAGGGGCGAGCCTGCTTACATAAGCAGATGCGGACGGGTGGACACATAGAATAAGACTTTTACAAATCAAATTTCTGTTAGGCTCCTAAATGTAAAATGATCAGTTACCCCTGTAATGCGGTCAATTTAGTCATATGAAGGTCGAAACAACCGACCCCAGGTTGAGCACCCCAGCATTACATGTGGCATCGTTCACTTTCGTCCCATAGTATTAATGACCCCCAGTGAAATCTCAATTTGAAAGTGAGAAAGTGAGAAGGTCATATGAATGGAAACAAAATAAATCATGAAGGATAGTGCGATAGCCTAGGGTTATGCCACCAACATAAGCACATGATCAACTTGGACACAGCCTGACTGACAAGTTGAACTATTCTAAATCCTTATTTCTCAATGGCTGCAGCGGCAGACCAGCAGCAATGATTTCCAACACTTGTTATTACAGTGTTTTAGACTTTATTTTAAAAAAATTGTTTTTAAAAAACAAGTTCGCAAATGTCAACAAGACGTACATGTGATCTACACAAAGGAGGCGATATTATAGAGACAGGGGTACTAAGCGGCATTCCCAATACTCATTTTTGAAATTTTTGAACAACCTGAAAGCTAACCTGTCATAAAATAGGAACCAATGGAATCGAGTTAGGGGTTATATTTTTCGGACTACAATGAGTTAGGTAAACCCTCCTTAGTGCCCCTTTTCTACACCATTGCGACGATGTGGGCACAAATAGATCGCACTCCTCCCCCATCCTTTTTCATGTGGGTCAACTGTCAATAACAGTCTCGGCCTTTGTTTCTCTTTTTGCACTGTTTACATGCATAGAGCTGTAAATCCCAAGTTGTCCAAGTTAGTCACATCATTGAGTCCTGGCTTTCCGTATCAAAACTAGTTCTTGCGCGGATTCCTGAAATACAACAGTGAAACGCTTTGGTCGAATTATCATGCCGAGCTGGTATAATATCATGTATGTACATCAAGGTCGATCTACATCCATTTCATCATGCCTTGCCGAGTCCATAGGTTCTGCTAGATTCATTGGGAATGGTCTGGCCTTGCGAGGACGTGCAGGGGGAGGGATTCTCTTGTGTTTGTTTGCCTGATTCAGTCGTTTGCGAAGTTCCCTGCGTTTCTGCCTGTCAGACTTCTTTCTGAGAGCCCCAAAAGCGTCGAAAGGTGTGATGTCCATCAAATCCGCAGCGAAAATGCGTTTTCCCTTGATTATATTCACTGGCCTGCGAGCGACGGGTGCTCTCTGGCCAATTCCAGCTCTTCCCAAGCATTCGATCTTGTAGAATGCTGGATTGGCGATGAAGACTATGGCGGACTGTTTGACCCTCCAGATGGCTCCTGCGCTTGCCGGAAGACAGTGAAGGTTGCAAAATATATCTGCAAGTCCATTCTGCAGCGATTCTCTTTCGTCCTCATCCATTCTTTTCAACGACCTGTGGAATTCTGCGATGTATCCATCTCCGGTCCACAATGCAGACCACTGGGAATTAACCTTCTTGGGCGATTCAGGGGCTGGAAAAAATGTAGACCACCTGTTTGCGAAGGATCTAGACCTTGGTCCCGTGCAACCGGGGGTCACACCAGTGTAGTCCTGTAGTCCGATATTGCAGGCCTCGAATGTCACATCAGTGAGGGTGTCAGTGATGCTCGTTATCGTCCAACACTTCATGGCTTCCTGCAACGATGTAGGGCACGGCCTGATTCCCTGAAAAATTTCATCTTTTAGCATGAGCCACAGATGCTTTGTGCACATCAAAAATAGTCGTCCTGCAGAGAGTCGTGAATCTGAGAGTCTGGAATGCCACACCCAAGGCTTCATAATAGTCGCTATAGAACTAACTATGGCTGACTTCAGTCGAGCCCATGAAGGCCTCCGACCGATAGGGAATTCCTCAGACTCAGCCTCTGCATCGGCCCTAGATATCTCATGCCTTGCTGCTGTTCTAGCCTTTTGTGCTTTGGTGTTCGCCCCCATAAGCGCAAGCACGGTGATATCATCCTGTTGCTGGATGTCATACAGGCATGTATCGCTGCTGATGTCGAATTCCTGTAGGAAGAACATCCCTGCGGTCTCCAGCACATTTCTATACTCCAAAAGAGCCAGTGATTCGCGCAGATGAGAGTCGAACACGATTGGGGTTGACGTTGTGGAGCGGAGCATGTGATTCAGTATGCTGGTGAGGACGCCAAGGTTTGGAGGGTTCTTCCGTATGATAGCGATCTGAGTTCGTTGAATCTCACGAACTCGTCTTGCCAAGAATCCAAACCATAACTCGGATGGGATCCACAGAATCGGGTCGGATTTCAGATACTCTTCCGCCTGAATCATTATCATCAACATGGAGAATCCTCGAATTGATGTTCTCAAGTGAATATCGCATACCTTAGATATCGTGCTGTCAAGAATCAGTCTTGCGGCCTTTCCACTCGTCCTGTATTCATCTCGCACACCATATGTTTTGTCTTTGGATCCAGTCAACATCCTTTCGATATTGAAGCATTCCACCATATAATTCGACGATGCCTTGTATGCATCGCTGTCTGTTGCAAAGGTGACCTGGTTGCTGGTGGTTCTGATGGCTTCGTAGTACAGGTTGTACGCGCTCCGGAATGCCACATGACTCTGTTGACATCTTTCTCTCTGCATCTCAGCCTGGAGTGCGCCATACCGTGAGAGTGTGTTGTGGTGATGCAGCTGTCCTCTATTATAACCCCCCGCCCCGAATGAGGCCTCCAATGCGTCCAGTCTCCAAAGTCCTACCACAGGAACATCTGATGAGCGAGGCGTGAATGAGATTCCAACATCGACCAGTAATTCTCCGTGTCTCCTGTCCATCATATGATCCCAATCTAGGTCAGGCAGATTGCAATATAGCGCTTCTTCAGGTCCTTGGAATTTTCCTCTCTGACCATCCTTGGTGATGAGCTTGATCCCCTTTCCCTCGAGCACAAAGAAGCACGACCCAAACATGCTTAGCTCCATTTCTCCATCCTTGATCCGATCGTTCATCCTTGCCTGCACGTCCATGAAGTCATCATTTGACAATGGAATTATCTTTGGTGTTCCTCTTCCTCCTGTCGCACCGTGTCCTCCCTTGTTCTTGTATCTTGCCTCATTGAGTGACTGCTTCAAATACGCCTGCCAGCTAATGTCAGCGCAATCTCCGATGGCTGGAAGCAAGACTCGGTCCCAGAAGATGTCTTCGACTTCGTTAGGTATTATGTTGACTCTCTTTCCACTGATGGCATCATCGTGTTTGAGGCGCGGAAAGAAAATATACACATTCAAGGTGGAAGCTGCGGATGAGATGCGCCCTATGCAGAGATGTGGGATGGTTTCCATTTTGACTCTTAGAGAAAGCCATTCTGACCTCCCTCCTGGTTCGTGTGCATCCTCTTCTGACTGCGGAATGAGGAGATCCAGATATGCGTGATTATGCTTTGAGATCCCTGGTTTGGAATGAAATGGAGGCGTCATATATATTCCGATGGTACCACGCAATTTCAACGTCTTTGTCGTCCATATGATGCTGTCGATATCCACTGAGATTGATATATCTCCTTCGTCGAATTTGATGGCATCCAGCTCAAGGTCAACATATATAGGTCTCTCCTCTCCATCTGAAATATGTGCACGACCACGCACAAACAAGCTGTGTCCATGTTTGCATTCCTCCTGCAGGGGTGGATCATGCTGATCGACCGAGTCGAGCATCTCATAGGCAGACAATATGATAACATCGCTCACTGTCACATCGCCCCTTTCTGGGTCAGCCCTTTTCCTGTCTAAGGAATATGCACCCGTCACTCGATCGGGCACCTGGTTTGATGCATCGTATGAATCCAATGTACCGACAGGCATGATGTGATCCATCGTAGAGATAGGCTGGCACTGGTAGAACATCTGAAATGTGCTTGGCCTGATCCTGTATCCATGGTCGACCCAGGTCGCCCAGGCCGCGGAAATTTCCATTCTGGATGAATGATATATCATGGTAGGATCAACGTCACTAGGGGGTCTCAGCATTTCTATGGTTGGTCCGCCCTCATAATCGTCAAAGTTTCTGTTGTCTTGCAGCCATCTCCTTCCTCTGTACGCAGTCATGGCAGGCGGCGCAGTAGGACGAGGAAATCGCTTTATACTGCCAAGATTCCAGTTGGAGACGCGTTTTCGAGATGTTATTGCAGCATATGACCGTTGAGAATCATCTTGTACCCTTTCCTCCGCACAATCCTCAGCCTCCACTGGAATATGTGTTCCACATGCACGTGGCACTATGCTGTTGCGATCTCGTGCCATAGAAATCTCCTTTGTGCCTTTCAAGATCTGGGAGAGCCTCGCCTTCCTTTCCTGAGTCAATGTTATGCCAAGCTCCGAGGTCTCCTCATCATGTGCGTCTGCGTCCTCTGTGTTTTCATCGCCTGTGTTGCTATCAGCATCGTTGTCGATGTTTAAATGATCTCAAGTACTCACTTTGTTCCATTACAGGAGGTCGTTTGCATCTCGCGCATGTTGCACTGACGACAGCCAGCGTACGGAGCATCAAGCTACATTCAGCATGATACTTTCCTGTACGCACTGCATATAAAATTTCTTCTTCTGGTGGTAGATCGTCTTGCCAACACGATGGTGGACTCTCCCGGAGCATCATGTAGTCGTCGTAGCTAGTCTTTACTTGTCCTGCTACAATGCGCAAGATTTTGATACGCATTGTATGACAACAGAGCGTTTCTGTTGGATCTATTGGCAAGTAGCCATCCGGAAGTCCATGGATCATTGTCTTCTCCATCAATGAGCACGCTGTGGCACTGTAGTCGATTCCGCTTTGATACCCATCGTAAGACAGCACCTGAACGTCGTCGAGATCTCCTGGATTCCACCCATGTATGGTCGCGATTCTGTCCCAGTAGTCTGGCCCGTTCCATGTGATCCATTCACCACCATCCACATCCATGTCATCATCAGGGGTGTGGCAATTAAGGACGTGCGCCCTGCGTCCCTCGAAGTCGAATACTATAGCAAGGAACTGGACGTCATAATTAACGATGAATCCCACTGGCACCATAGGACACTCCTCGTCGCAGGGTATGTATTGGTCGGTCCTCAAGATATCCATGTCATCCTCATTGCGGTTTGTTGGCGCAGCCGCCAACATGTCCATAAATCTTATCCTGTTTTGGCCTTGTATTGAATACCATACTCCTAATAGGTAGAAGTTGGCTACGGCGCTGTCGATGCATTCTGATTTTACAGCCATGGTAGAGGACGCCTCCATAGCTGCAGCCCAACGGGATGGTCGTGCCATTGCGCGGGCTGCGACGAGTGGTGGTCATTTTATTCAATAATCCAGCAATGTGGTTTTGAGATAAACTCACAGGCAATCTCCTCCGCAGTGTACGTGATCTCCACAGTCGGTACTCTTTCAAGCGAGATTGATCTCTGCCCTTCCATATTTGGAGGGGGAGTGGGGCGGTATTCTTCATCGTGATCCCTCCTGTCGCACGAGGCTGCACCACAGTCACTTAATTGCTCAAAGAATCCAGGAGGTTATTTGTGCGCTCACAGTTGTGTTCATCATAGCACTGTGGTTCTCCTTCATCTCCAGATTCATAATCATTATCATGTGCGATGTACTCGAATTCATTGCTATCCTCCTGTCTCTCAGCTTGTGTGGTACGTGCCAGCTTCTTTATTCCTGCAACAAACATCAACGGGACTGCATATTTCCTATCAATTCTACCCATGATTTTGCAAGTCCATTAGAGTTAAGGCTGGGTTATGGTATATCTAAAACAGCCATATTGCGCAAATATGCACATGTCAGATTTGCGCAAAATTGACCCCCCCATATTGCGCAAATATGCACATGTCAGATTTGCGCAAAATTGACCCCTCATATTGCGCAAAAATACAAATGTCAGATTTGCGCAAAATTGACCCCTCATATTGCACAAATATACAAATGTCAGATTTGCGTGATATGGACCCTTCATATTGCGCAAATATACAAATGTCAGATTTGCGTGAAATGGACCCCTCATATTGCGCAAATATACAAATGTCAGATTTGCGTGAAATGGACCCTTCATATTGCGCAAATATACAAATGTCAGATTTGCGTGAAATGGACCCCCCCATATTGCGCAAATATGCACATGTCAGATTTGCGCAAAATTGACCCCCCCATATTGCGCAAATATGCAAATGTCAGATTTGCGTCAAATGGACCCCCCCATATTGCGCAAATATGCACATGTCAGATTTGCGTGAAATGGACCCCTTCATATTGCGCAAATATACAAATGTCAGATTTGCGTCAAATGGACCCCTCATATTGCGCAAATATGCAAATGTCAGATTTGCGTCAAATGGACCCCCCCATATTGCGCAAATATGCACATGTCAGATTTGCGTGCAAATGGACCCCTCATATTGCGCAAATATACAAATGTCAGATTTGCGTCAAATGGACCCCCCATATTGCGCAAATATGCACATGTCAGATTTGCGTGAAATCAACCCCTATGTTGCACAAATATACAAATGTCAGACTTTTTGAAATCAACCTCTCATATTTGCAAAAATACAAATGTCAGATTTGCACAAATTGACCCCGTCATATTGCGCAAAATACAAATGTCAGATTTGCGTGACATGGACCCCTTCATATTGCGCAAATATGCAAATGTCAGATTTGCGTGAAATGGACCCCCCATATTGCGCAAATATGCAAATGTCAGATTTGTGCAAACTTGACCCCCTCATATTGCGCAAATATGCAAGTGTCAGATTTGCGCAAAATCGACCCCTCATATTGCGCAAATATGCAAATGTCAGATTTGCGTGAAATGGACCCCCCCATATTGCGCAAATATGCAAATGTCAGATTTGTGCAAACTTGACCCCTCATATTGCGCAAATATGCAAGTGTCAGATTTGCGGCAAATCGACCCCTCATATTGCGCAAATATGCAAATGTCAGATTTGCGTGAAATCAACCCCTATGTTGCACAAATATACAAATGTCAGACTTTTTGAAATCAACCTCTCATATTTTGCAATTTGGAATTAGAATGGAGTCACTGGAATCAGTTCAGACATGGTGTGATATATGAGTGTATTATTATGTAAGCTTGCTATTGTGATATGAGTCAAACTGGTATCCTACAGTGAGGTCTTGAGATTTGGTTAGAATTAAAACTAGTGCAAGTCAGGAGGTGTGCATAAGGAAAATCCCACACATAGAGCTTGATATTACTAAGCTTGTAAACCTTGATATACAGCCATCCAAAGTTTCAAAAACACAAGTTCTGAGTTTCTCGATAGTGGCCTAAGAGTCTGTTCGGACATCATTTTCGCCAACCAACTTTGAAATTCCAACGTAGCCCATACAAGACCAAATAGTCCGAGACCAAAAATAATGTCATGCTGATCATGCTGATACAATATGATAGTGGTCGCTGAGCCTATTGTACAACACAATGCATCCTAACGACCTCAATGCCAAATTTGATCTACTAGACCCACTAGACAAAGATGATGTCGACATCGAAGACAGTGCGGATGAAGATTCCAATTGTGCTGATGCGGTAGACTCCGACCGACTGGACGTAAATGAGCTGCACTGGATAGACAAGATGTTCCATGGTGCTGCTCGTGTAGCAATGGCTATTGCTGATGCTGCTGGGCAGGTACTCCAAGGTCACTCGCAAACTCACTACAACAAGCAACCCTATTATACTTCAGCCTTGTCTGTAATGGCATGGGTCAACGAACTCCTCGCACGACATCCAGACCACATACGATGCGAACTTGGCATGCAGCATCATGTATTCTATTGTACTATTGAATATACTTCACGATTCAGGGTGCAGAAATTCAAAACATGTCACACTTGAGGAGCAGCTTGCCATCTTCTTGTATGCATCTGTCACAGGACTCTCTGTTCGCCATCTTGGTGAATGCTTTCAATGCTCCAATGACACAATAGCAAAATATGTTATCCCTTAGTGTCATACATTTGCTTATTGTTTTGAATGTATTTCAAACATATTCTCAACGCATTTTCCTCCCCCCCGATTTATTCATGT